AGAAAAAAGGTAGTGTAATAGAATTCTATATTAATATTACTTTACCGCCTTTCTACCATGCTACGCTTGAAGTTTAATAAAGACAAATGGCAAAAGACCGCCTTGGCTTAACCACGAGATCTTGCATGATCTAAAAATAAAAAGGAGTCATATAAAAAATGGAAAGTAGGACAAATTACAAAGGATAAATACAGGCAAACAACACAGGAATGCAGGGCAAGATCAGAAAGGCAAAGGCACAAAATGAGCTTAAACTAGCTACGGGAATAAAGGAAAACAAGGGGTATGTCTACACTACCCCGCTAGTTCGAACTAGCGGGGTAGTGTAGACATACCCTATATTAGTGGAAATTTCAATGCCGCCTAAACTACAGAGCTATTATTGCATTCCTTGAGTAAGTAGTTAGTGCAGATATTTCCCCCAAGCATTTCAGATATTCAACAAAATGTAAAGTTGTTGTTAGTCTAGTTTTACTATAGTTATTTTGTGAAATAAGTAATATGATCAATTTTATTGTGTTCCAGAGAGGGGAGATTGAATTTGAAGTGGTGTATGTTGCTCCAGAGGTAGACTCAGATGATGAAAATGTAGAATATGAGGATGAAAGTGGACATCGCTATCGCTTGTATCTTGATGAATTAGAGGAAGGTGGAAATTCAGGTTCTCATAGGAAAGATGCAAGTGCAGATGTCAAACCATCAGAAGGTAAAACTTCTTTGGCTAAATGCTAAAAGCTGAAACTTCATTATACAAAGCTGTTTGACTGGAATTAAGAATTTTTAATGAATTTTACCTGCCATCATGCAGCCAACTCAACTAGCTTTGTTAGGTCCCTCTGAAGTCCCTCATGCAGTCATCTTGGCTATTCTAGTTAAATATGTATTATATGCTGATTTTCACATCCTCTTAATCATGTTCCCATGTTGAAAATTAGCTATTCCTAGTTTTTGTTTTCTGACTCTTGGCCAGTCCTAATACAATAACAATTGTTTTTCTTTACCTACTGTTTTGTAGATGTGTTCAATTTTTTCTTTTAGATTAGAGAAGCATGATTTTCCTTTACAGAAGCAGTGCATATTTTCTAATCATGTCATGTTTATCAAGAAGTCTTTCTAGTTCTTCTTAGTTATTTGAATGAGTTTTACAGTTTTAGAAATAAAGTTCATTAGTCTGTAATTTCTTGGATCATCTCAGTGCGTTAAAAAATATTTTTAATTTGCAGTGTTTGGTAAGAAACCAAGTGTTGGTGGACATGAAAATGGAGACCTAGGAAATTCAGTTCAAACTTCCTTAGAAGAGACTGCACCTAAATTGGCAGATTCTGCTGAGTCCTTGTCCTAAAGAAATCGACTGACCTGATCACTTCTCCAGGAAAGATTGATAATCAGTATAGACTGTTTAAATTTTATATACCAGTAGGTTGTAAAAGGACTATTAAAAATCAAAGGAAACCTGTATTACTGTTGCCTGCAAAAATGGCGGTTACCTCAGGGCTTCTTTGTGAACAATTCATAAAATGTAAAATGGTTTCTCTGTGACACACAGTAGTTAACACATTGCATGTAAAATGGATTTTCCTTGAACTGTAAACACCAAAGCATGTGGTTTCCAAAAGAAAATGCATTTAACTTTGGATCCTATTGATGACCTTGAAGGGTGTAGAATAAATTTGTAGCCAACTTTATTTTGTTGCTTTGTCTCTGAGTAAAAGTAAAGAATTAACAGCACTTGGATCCAAATCAACCTTTAACTCTTAAAAAGGAGAGAAGTGAATATTTAGGATGGTGACCCTGAATTTTCCATTTAAAGTTTTTGATCTTCAATTAAAAGGGGAAGAGGAAGGGAGGGAGGATTTAAAAAAAAAAGTCACAATTCAGATTTTTACATAATAGAAAAAAGCAAATGTTTTAGTTAAAAAAAAAAAAAAGTGGAAAGAACAACTGTTAAGTATGGTGAATTCTAAACTCCCAGTCCACAATCAATTAATCTGTGAGGCGATTTTCAGCATTATTTAATTTCTTTGAACAATTTATTGCCAATCAGTGCTTCACTTTAAATATTCTCAAAAAGTATTTAAACAGAACACAGTTCTGTTTGTTTTTCTAATGCAAAATTAGTGTAAAAATGGCTTAACACTTTTTCAGAATTATGTCTGCCCTTGTACATTATATCTGAGCATCATACAGTCAATATTCATTATTGAATGGATACTGTTAAAACAAATAAGTAGTTTTATATATTGAGTTTGTTCATCATGGGCTTGATCCTATGAGACACTGAGTACTTTTGGATGGGTACTGACCACACTCAATTCCCATTGAAATAATCTTTAATCAAAGGGAATTGAAGACATGCCATACCTCACAACAGGTGCTCAGGGCCACGCAGTATCTGGCCCTAGATGTGTTATAGTATGACAGTCCTGTTAACCTATAGCATTTTAATTGTTACTGTTGAAATGAAATACCATTGCCTTCCAGGATCAGTTATATTCAAAAATACCTGATAATTGATGTACATCTAAAGGCCCAAAGCATGTTTGGAAAATGGTGAAGTTATTAAAGGTGGTTTTCCTGGTTAGTTTCTCATACTGTATCTATAGGTATTTTAGTGAAACGCAATATACTACATATGCAAACTGTAAAAAGTGTAATAGCTTTTATTAATCCAGGGTAAAGCATGAAATGCCTGCTCTCTCATTCACTGCTCTGCGGACTGTTTTAATGTGAAAAGATGAGATTTTGTATTTTGAGAATGGAACTAATGTGAAATAACAGCTTTGCAAATGTTACTGTATTGATGTACATAGAGAAAAAAAATCTCAAAGGCCTTTAGAGGAATATCAATCTAATGTTTGATGTTAAAAACTTTTGATGTAGAACAGTTACTTACCCTCTTAGGAGCACTATATATATATATATGTTTGTATAGATATCTTTAAAATGTATATACTTTATTCAAAGATTTTACTATTTATAAAACCTTTAACCATTGCTCTTTTAATGATTTAAGGTGCATGGTTCTATTCACTCAAAAAGCTGTTTCATTTACAAACATTCTTTTGTGGTACAGCATATTAAAATACTCTATAATATTGCCTCCTAGGAGAAGTTAATATTTAAAAATAGGGCTCAATACATAAACAATATATCACCAGTTGCTCATAAAACATCTTTCTATGCACCTGAAGCTCCATGTGTCACAAGAAATCTTCAGGTGCATTTTAGCAGGTGAACTCATTGCTATAATGTTGCATCCAGACATTCAGGCTGTGTCTAGACTACATCCCTCTTTTGACAGAGGGATGTAAATTAGACACTTTGAAATTGCAAATGAAGCAGGGATTTAAATATCCCACACTTCATTTGCATAATCACGTCATGGCACTCTTTTGAAAAAGCGCCATTTTGACAGTAAAACCGCAGGCTAGATGCAGTTATTTAAAAAATGGCAGGCTTTTTCAAAAGATCCTGTACTCCTCAAAAAATGAGATTTACAGGATCTTTTGAAAAAGCCTGCCGTTTTTGAAAGAACTGCATCTAGACCGTAGTTTTACTGTCGAAATGTGCTTTTTCGAAAGGGTGCCATGATGCGATTATGCAAATGAAGCGCAGGATATTTAAATCCCTGCTTCATTTGCAATTTCGAAGTGTCTAATTTACATCCCTCTGTTGAAAGAGGGATGTAGTCTAGACACAACCTCATTGTGTTGCATCTACTGTCATTCCAATAAGGTGTACTCTGAGGCTGTGTGTATCTTAGAGCTCATTCTGTTTGTTGGACAAAGAAGGCAGTTCAGTCTTCACTTTCCTGGAAGTCCTTGTTTGAAGATGTTACACATGTTGTTTTTCTTCTATCACCGCTATGCCTACAGTTTTGATCATCCTATATGTGAGATCAGTAATAAAAAGTAGCGTACTGGCTGGGAATTTGCATTTGACAAATTGATGCCAAACTTCCTCCAATGTGAATTTTTCTAACCTTTGTTTGGGAAACCCTGAGTCAGACAATGTTGCCAGAACTTTCTGTGAAAGGATAGTTTGGCTGTACTCTATAGTCCCTGCTATAACAATGCAGATTTACTATTGCAATAGTGAAACTATTAAAAGTGCATTTTGAAGCTGGACGTAGTTTAACAAGTTGCAATATCTAAATGCAATGTATAACTACATATTGCTCTGTTTGCCAATAACTGGAACACTAAAGCCCCCTGCTTCCCAGGGGTTGAATGAGTTAAACATAAAGAGTTTCCAATGAAAGTAAGATTTGCATTACTTGTACATATTTCATTTCAGATAATAAAACAAAGCTCAAAAGAGTACAGCATTTTGTGGGTAATTCCTTGGCCATATTTTAAAATCTTCAGTGGAATAGCTATGGCCTGTTTTTTTAAAGATGGATGGAGTTTGAAGGAATGTGGGACCATTGCTAACTTAGAAGCAAGGTTGGAGGCAATAAATTAACTCGGGTCAGAAATTGTTTCATATTTCCTTAGTAGAAGTGTGTTTACTACAGTGGAGAGGGTTTGTATCTATCTCAGACACCACAGTTGTGTTGATAATGAATATGGTAAGCAATATGCAGATATTATTTATTGTATGTATTATCTCTTCAAACGCTGTTCCATCTTGAGTTGGCCTCATATCTGTGGAAGATGTAACATTTTGCAACAATTGTATTATATCTAGTTAAGCTGAGTTTCATATTTTTTTATTAGCCTGTAAATAAAGATGGGGTCTTATGCATTATAATGGTTTGTGTTCCTAATTTACAATTAAAAATTTCAGGTTTTCTTTGTTTTATTTATAAAATGTGAATAGGCAGCAAACACAATATGTGATCTGCTTCTGCTAAATTCATTGTATGTCCAAATACACAGTATCAAGCAGAAAAGGCGTTGTATTAAAACCTGACTATTGTGACAAAAATCAAACTCCTTAACATAAAGATTAAAGCTAATCCAATCTTTGATAGTAAGATGTAACAGCAAAATTAAAGAAAAATGGAGCTGACGGTATAGGAGGCATCTCAAAAATAATTAAAATTGAGGAATGCTTCCTGTTGCAGTTTTTCTATATGAGGTTAGAGGAGGACAATCTGATAAACACGATGGCTGCGTCCAGACTGGCATGATTTTGCAGAAATACTTTTAAAGGAAAAGTTTTTCCATTAAAAGTATTTCCGCAAAAGAGCGTCTAGATTGGCACGGATGCTTTTGTGCAAAAGCATCCATGCCCAGTATAGATGCGCTTTTGCGCAAGAAAGCTCCGATGGCCATTTTAGCCATTGGGCTTTCTTGTGCTAAAAATTAAGGTGCCTGTCTACAATGGCCCTCTTGCACAAGTATTCTTGCGCAAGAGGGCTTATCCCTGAACTGGAGCATCAGTATTTGCGCAAGAAGCACTGAATTCTTACATTAGAACGTCAGTGTTCTTGCACAAATTCAAGTGGCTAGTGTAGACAGCTGGCAAGTTTTTGCGCAAAAGCACCCACTTTTGCGCAAAATCTTGTCAGTCTAGACGCACCCGATGTGTTTGGGTTATAATTCTATAAAAATCTTTTAGCCGTCAGCCAAAAAGAACTACAGAGATCCAGATAATTGAAAACTAGTCAAAGGACTAAATCTTTGGGTACTATTAAAAATATGAGTATATATATCCTACTTTTCTATTTGACATGGTAAAAGAATATTAGGTGTGCTGTGTATGTGTGTTTCTGGTTTTTACACCATGGGGATAATTAGATTCCATCCCTTGGCATCACATTAGCTATTCTCCAGTCATTTGAAAGAGAAGCTGATTTAAAGGCTAGGTTATAAATCACAGTTAGTAGTTCTGCAGTTTCACATTTGAGTTCCTTCAGAACTCTTGAGTGAATGCCATCTGGTCCTGCTGATTTATTACTGTTTGGTTTATCAGTTTGTTCTAAAACCTCCTCTAATGACACCTCAATCTGGGACAGTTCCTCAGATTTGTCACACAAAAGGAATAGCTCAAGTTTGGAAATCTCGTCCTCAGCGGTGAGGAATGAATGCAAAGAATTCATTTAGTTTCTCTGCAATGGATCTATCATCCTTAAGTGCTCCTTGAGCAGCTGGATTGTCCAGGGCCCCACTGGTTGTTTAGCAGGCTTCCTGCTTCTGATGTACTTAATTTTTATTTATTTATTTATTTATTTATTTTGCTATTTTTTAGTTTTGGGCTAACAATTTGTCAAATTCTTTTTGGCCTTCCTGATTATAGTTTTATACTTCATTTTCTAGAAGTTGTGCTCCTTTCTATTTTCCTTACTTTAGTATTTAACTTCTACTTGTTAAACTATATCTTATTGTTTCTCATTGCTGCTTTTACATTGCTGTTTAGCTACAGTGGGACTTGTTTGGTTTGCTTACTCTGTTTTTTAATTTGGGATATACATTTAAGTTGAGCCTCTTCTATGGTATTTCTTTAAAGTTTCCGTGCAGCTTGCAGGGATTTCACTTTGTCGCTGTGCCTTTTAATTTCTGTTTAGCTAACTTCCTCATGTTTGTGTAGTTCCCGTTGAAAGTAAATGTTAGTGTTGGCTGCTGTCATGTTTTCCCCACCACAGAGATGTTAAATCTGATTATATTATGGTCACAAATTACCAAGTGTTCCAGCTATATTCACCTCTTTCACTACCTCTTCACTACAGTGAGTTCCAGATCTCTGCTGGTTCACTGAAGAAGCAGAGCTTTTTTTTGTAAGTTTTTTGTAAGTGATTACAAGGGAACTCTGGTGTTTCAATAGACATCTTTTGATCAATCAAAATTAATGCCAGGGATCAGAGAGGGTTTCTCTTGTCAGGAAGACATCGGTGACTTTGCTGTTGATGAAGGTTAATAAACTTGTTACCAAATATATTTGTAAATCTTGATAGGTCCTTGTTGAATTAAATCTTAATCTTCCTGGTAATAAGTCTGAGGGGTAGCTGTGTTAGTCTGTAACTGAAATTTGTTTTAAAAAATAACAAATAGTCTTGCAGCACCTTAGAGACTAACAAAAAATGTAGATGGCATCATGAGATTTTGTGGGCACAGCCCACTTCAGATTTCTTCCCACTAATGACATATTAGCGTATCCTGATTGGAGTGTCCTGTGAAGGTTTGATATCCATTCTCACTGGCTAAGCTTTTATATGTTTGCCTACTGGAAGGAAAATAATAACCTTAAGTGTAAGAATATAAGAATGGCCATACTAGGTCAGTCCAAAGGTTCATCCAGCCCAGTACCCTGTCTGCCAACAGTGGCCAATGCCAGGTGTCCTAGAGGGAGTGAATCAAACAGATAATGATCAAGTGATCTCTCTCCACCCTCTGACAAACAGAGGCTCAGGACACCATTCCTTACCCATACTGGCTAATGGCCATTTATAGACTTAACCTCCATGAATTTATCTAGTTCTCTTTTAAACCCTGTTATAGTCCTAGCCTTCACTACCTCCTCAGGCAAGGAGTTCCACAAATGGACTATGCGCTGTGTGAAGAACTTCCTTTTATTTGTTTTAAACCTGCTGCCCATTAGTTTCATTTGGTGGCCCCTAGTTCTTATATTATGGGAACAAGTAAATAACTTTTCCTCATTCACTTTCTCTACACCACTCATGATTTTATAGACCTCTATCATATCCCCCCCTTAGTCTCCTCTTTTCCAAGCTGAAAAGTCCCAATCTCTTTAATCTCTCAAGATATTTGGTAAGTGGGTCTGTCTTTATCCTTCTGTATTTAGGAGCATGTTTGCCTTAGTAACTACCCTCTTAACACAAAGGTTTGCTCCAGTTCACTCCCTCTTGAGACCCCATTTGGTGAATGTTTGCAATTGCCTGTCCTTCCCCCTCCTCCTCCCATCCCATAGTGGGTGGAAGGATTCTGGTTTCTTTGTTTGTTGCATGCCCTACTTTGCTTCCTGATAGCTACTTCCTACTTTAGCCTTTGTTGGTGACACAGCTGCCTCCTCCCTCTTACCACTGGCCAGAGCAGAAATATGTGTCCCTGGGAATGAAGAGGTCTAGATGATCGTTCTAGACACAGGCACCCAGAAACCCTCTCCTTCCTGAGACAACATCCCTTACTGAATGCCAGATGACAGCCACCCCAGCTAATTTTGTAAAGACTTGAGTTGGTACATATTGATTTAATTGTTCAGGCTATCAGTGGTCTAAAAAATATCCCTTGTTGTCCCTTAGTTACACAGAGGCAGCTTAGGTGATTTGTTGAAGGATACTTTCTAGTTACCACATTCACATTTTTGAGTTCCTAAGTGCTACAGTGATGAGCACCACTGAAACAGCTACAAACTGTGGGTGCATCTCAG